TTTTTTAAAAAAAGAGTATGACTTAGTCATAAGACTAATTCTTGTAGTCCCCTAAGACTTTGGTATTTGTATATATCTAAAATGTGAAATAATCTAAACCTTCAAGTTTGCATTTAATTTAGGAATTTTTTTTTGGATATGGAATGTTTGCCATTATTATAAAAATATTGGTATTGCTATGGAGATCACTGGAACACATTATTCTGATAACTTATATAGAAAAAATCTAATTAAGTATGAGATTGATACTATTTTCAAGTAAATCTAAAATCTTGACTCTGAAAATAAAGTCCTGAGTATATATCTCTCCTAGAGATGTATGGTTTTTAAAAATTCTCTAAAAGAAGTCAGGCAACACCCATAGGGCTGAGATGGAGGCAAATTAGTCTCTCTTACAAACAAGGTGGCTGTCACACAGCAATAAAATTCCAGCAACTCAGAAGGAAGCTATCTTCCTTGAAGTTGTATATCTTCAATGTCTGTTGATTTCTCAAAGAAAACAACAGAGTTAGCAATCAAATTAACATATTATCATCTTTCTTTTTTTCATGGGCACCAAAATATTAATAGTAAGTTAGGTGAAAGAGAAAAAATATATAAATTTTAACTAGGGTTTCTACTTACACCTTCATTTTCAAGTCTAATTCCAACTGTCTTCTCTATATCTGAAATTCTCCCCTTTGAACACCTGAGGGGGAAAATATAGAGATTACAGATTGGATTATTTTAACCTGGTACGTGTAAGACTAGTTTTAGAAATAAAACAGAATCATTTACAAACAAAAATTGCCTTAAACTATCATCCAAATCCTAAAGCATGTGGAACTGCCTTCACTGGTCATATACTAGAGATGCCCACCGTACCACACTCTTTTCTAAGTGGCATCTGCACCTCCCAACCCCTAATGCCTAGGAGACAAAGGCCCACTCCCAAGTTAGGGTGGGCATCTGACACCAAAGCTATGTATATACCCATATATGCTGACCAGCTAACCAGAGGTGAGGAGAGTTCACAATTCTTCAGACATGGTTACTCATAAATATAACTTATAAGTAAGAAAATAATGTCAAAAGAAAACTTAGAATGAACTGAACCAGGTACCTCTTTTCACTCCTCATTGGACATAGAGGTCCCCTTGTTTCAGCAGCTCTATCTGTGAGAATGGTAAAAAAATAAATAAATAAATAAAGTGTCTTCTTTATTAATCAATATATAGCTAGAATTTCAAATTACATAGTCTCCAAAGTATTAAGACACTGACTTACATTGAAATGTTAGAATAAATTCCAAAGACACTAGCCTCCTTACAAATCAAGTTGCTTAAAAATGCATAAATCGGGACACATATGTAATACCCGTTGTAATAAAAATTTTTTTAAAAAAATGCATATATCGCTTTCTTCTTTAAATATAACCTTTAGTGTAAATTGATGTCTGCTCATTTGGAAAGCTATCATTTAGTGTCAAGAAAATTACTATAAGAAAAATAAAGAAATTAATTTTAGGCTCACAAAATATATACTACTATATATAAAAGCTAGGAATTATAATCAAGAGGTATTTTATAAATCTGTTTCATCTTGAAATAACCTTTTTACTAAATTACTAGTACTGGATAAACCAGTCAACACCCTGGGTCTAATAAAGTTTTAAGGTCATACCATCTTTCATAAGTACGCCATTTGTCAATTTTATATGCACATGGACTAAGTTCAGTATAGTAAGATAGAGCTAAATCTGGGAACTCACATTGTTTTGGAACAAACTGAGTTGTTCTGACTCCATGACTTTGCTCTTCCCCCCAGCCTTTGGTCTTTAATGTATCCATGTGACATCTTTGAGAACTTAGAAACACAAAAAGCAAAGACGTTCAGATACAAAAGGAAAATCTACCATAAATACTCATTATCTCTGTCTGACAAGCTTCTCCAAACAGGAGTTATTGATTACCCTGAATCATCAAATTACAAGAGAGAGCATGCAACACAGCACAATCTGTGACTAGGATAAAAGGAGTCTAATCCTGATTCTAATATTTCTGTCAAGTTACTAACCTCCAGTTGTTCTATTTGTAAAATTGCATGTTCTCAAGCCCCAGCATCACCCTAACTGAAAAATCTCATGTGATAAAACTCAGGTCAAAAGATGGAAAATTTTACATAATACACTAAAATGGATCCTAAAATAACACATTAAGGCAGGAATATGAAAAGCAAAATAGGTTGAGGATTTTGCCGACGTGACAAAACCAATAGTTCACAAAGCATACTGCTGTTTTCAATAGTGGCTAGACAAAATGGAGAAAATATTAACATTCTGACTTACTACACTAAGAGAATTAAAATTTTAAAAATTCACAACCAAAATTGAAATTCCCAGACAGGTATTTCTTTGTTATTTCTACACTCAATCAGCTAATCTTGTGACAGTTTCACCTTTAACTTGCTGTTACATAATTTCTGGGACAGCCCTCTGTGTATTTGCACTTGTTAAAATTATCAAATGTACCTAAATTCTAAGCTCACATATTTTTTGTCCCCTTTTTATAAGGCCAAATATCAACTCCTCCTGCCATTCTCATTTATTTGCTCAAATCATTAGAGTATTAACGAAGAGTCTTATAAGAAAAACTTCTTATGACCTGTGTGACTTTAATCTTCTATCTAGAGTGGAGGGTTTCCAATTGTGCTAAGATGCATCCACTAAGATGCCTCAGGAACTGTGTACATAGAGAGATAGGGAGGGGGGGGCGGGGGGGGGGAGGGGGGCAGTGAGGGACATGCAGGAAAGGAGGAAGGGGGAAAGAGGCAGACAGACAGAGACAGAGATTGTGGGGAATGTGTATATTGGGAGTTGGAGTTGAAAAAACTCTCTGCTTCCTGATTTCAACCAGTGATTCCACTTTTCTATATCAGAGTTTTAAGTCAGAGTACACTTGAACAAGGATTCTAAAGCTAACAGAAAACTGTATTTTATAAAAGCACTATTCTATATAACCATTACTAGATGACAAATTACAGGCTAGTTCTCTCCACGTTAATCTCTTTTTTCCCCATAAAACCCTTCCTACCAATTCCCTCTCGAAAAATAAGGAAAAAAAGATGTCTGGCAAAGCACTGATCTTGTTAGCTCATCTTTACCTGTGATGAGGTGAAGTTACAGGAGGAACAGAGTTTCCATGAACACCTTCTTTAAGTCGCTCCAATAACCTTCGGTACTTCTCTCTTTCTTCTTTTTGAACACCCTAAATAGAAGAAAGCATGTTGGATAACTTCTAGCACATTAAACATATAAGTAAATATTAAGCAAAGACTTAACAGGTCATAGGTGTGTTTTATTGGTCAGCACAGGGTTCTTTAAATTTATTTTTTTAATGGGGGGGGAAGAGGGGGGGAGAGAGAGGGAGGGAGGGAGAGGGGGAGAGAGAGAGAGGGAGGGGGGAGGGACAGGTAGAGAGGCGAGAGAGAGAGGAGAGAGACCAATTTGTCCTCCACTTATTTATGCATTCATTCATTGGTTGGTTGATTCTTGTATGCGCCCTGACTGGGGATCAAACCCAAGACCATGGCATTTCAGGAAGATGCTCCAACCAAGATACTCAGCCAGGGCCAAAATTTCTTTAAATTAATTACCAACTTTATAAATTGAAAAGAGATATCCAAAAATTTATCTTCTTTTGAAAAACCAAATCAACAATCTGGAGCTACGTAGGGCTATTCCCTTTAGATGGCCCATTCACTCTAGCCCACTTCACTCATTTACATTATCTCCTAGACCTGGAGGGCTTCTGAGTTTTTGACAGCAGAACTAGGTTGACCACAAATTCAGCAGAATAAACCACTTGCATATTCAGAACATTCAGCTTCCAAATGAGACTGGTCTCACCATAGTCACCAATGACGATGTATGGTCAGATCCAACAGATACTTTTTCAGCCTTATATTAACCCCTCTCTTTAGCATTTCACCCTCATGACCTCGCCTTGCCCTCCTGGACAATACACTCTCCTGATTTCTTTTTATCTTCTCAGTCTCCATTGCAGATTATTTCTTCTTCTGCCTGTCCAAAATGCCAAAGGCCCTGCCCAGTATCTCTTCTCACACATTTTCTCCCTGAACAATGTCTCAGCTCCCTTAATTTATACAACACCAATACTCAGAATATTCAGAATATTCTGTCTTCTTCTCAAAACTCTGAGCCAGGTCACTTTGCATATTCCACAGGCACTTTAAACAATGTCTAAAACTGAAGTCATTAAATTCCCCCTAACCACTCAGGGTATCTTGGTTAGTGGCACCTATTTATCAAGACTGAAATCTGGGACTCAGGCTCTTCCTGCTAACTTTGTATCACTCCTAACCAATGAATATGTCCTTGCTAATATTACCTTCTAATATTTCTAGAATATATCCTTATGTATACCCTATATTTGCTCAGTTTCGTTTCTGATTTCTCATCTAACAGGTATTGTAGGCTACTTTATAATACCTCTCCTTAAAACCCCCTCTAGGGCTGCAGTCCATTTCCTCTCTCTGCCTACTTCTGTTTGTTCAATGCAACTATTTATGAATATGGTCCCAGAGGTCAGGGACCATGTTTTATTCAGTTCTAATTACTGACACTGGGCACCCAAACAAGTATTTCTAAGATGAGCAAAACTAAGTGGCTCAGAAAACCATGTAGCAATAGGTGATGGTCCTAGGGAATGCCAGATACAGAAATAATTCTAAATCAGGGGTGGGCAAACTTTTTGACTTAAGGGCCACAATGGGTTCTTAAACTGGACGGGAGGGCCGGAACAAAAGCATGGATGGAGTGTTTGTGTGAACTAATATAAATTCAAAGTAAACATCATTACATAAAAGGGTATGGTCTTTTTTTTTTTAATTTTATTCATTTCAAAAGGGTCGGATCCAGCCCGCAGGCCGTAGTTTGCCCACAGCTGTTCTAAATGCTCCTGGAATAAGTGAAGACTTGAAAAAGGAAGTGAAGAGAATCTTATTGATGAAGATATCATGCTAAGTGCCCTGAAAAGGGAAGGAAAGAGTAGACATATACACCATTTAACTTCTCTTACTTAGTCACAGTTATTATATACAGCTTCTAAAAGAAACAAGTTAGAACAATCCAGGCACCCAAAAAGAACCCATTCTTTTCCTAACATGACTCCTTTTTCTTTCTTATAGTGAAAATAATCTGGAAATTGACTAAATTACATACATATAGAATATCTCTAGAAGTATCAGAGTCAAACAGGGTGGAAGGGCCAGGTACGGAAGTGAGAATGGGATGTTTATAGTCACTGTACACCCTTTTATACCTTTTGAATTTTATGCTATAGTACATATATTACTTATTCCCACCCCACCCCCCCGCTCACCCCAAATTCATAAAATAGTTTTCAAAAGAGATCAGACTGGTAGGGCTTACCTCCTCCACAGTACAATGGGGACGCCTCAGACCCTTGCCACCCTCTTCAATAATCATCTCTGTTACAACCTGTTCCTGAGGTTTCCACATTAAGGAACTCTCTGGATTGCCTTTGCTATGGCGGCGGCCACCTGGTCTTCTATTATAGCCGTCTGAGTTCAAAGTAAACCTGAGAGACAGAAAAAAAAAAGAAACATGTGTCACCAAACGGCTTAAATTGCTGGATTCCAAGCTTCAGACCATTCTGTGATTAGGCTTCCCAGATTAAGCTTGCTCCTGGCAAATCAGACAACTAGCATTCACAAAAGTTAGATCTATCTCTAGAGTAGAGGTAGAATTCCACAATGGAAAATCTATTTCCAGTCACCAGGGTTGCCACATGAGAGCCTCTGCCTTCTTCCTCAAGCCCCACTTTCCAACCCCAACTCTGGAATTAGCTCCCCTACTACACATACCTTCCCCTTGTGCTGCACTTTTCCTTTACTCACTTGGCATTGCTGGAATTAATTATTGTGTGATTGTTTAATGTCAATATCCCACACCAAACTTTAAATTCCATGAATACAGAGATTATATCATTTCATCACTGGATCTTAGAACAGGATCTAAGCTGAAAGGCACTCAATATTTGCTGGATGCTAAATTAATGATTGTAAATTAATAACTGCTAAAGAAATGAAAGCCATGAAGCCCCTAGTCATTGTTGCTGGTGGAAGAGCCTGCCTCTCCTACCATCACCAATAATGGGACAAACTGACATCATATCTTCCTGATGTAATGTTTTTAAAACACTACATGTATGAGACTTTTACCAAAAAAAAAGCTGCATAATCTAAAACAAATCATGAATAAATGTCCGACAAAATTAAAGGATATTCTACAAAAGAAATGTTCTGTTGGGTGGGGTGAAAGTAGGTTTACTGTTGTGAGGACGCAAAACAGAGTTTATCATTATTTATTAATTACTGTATTATTTTCCATCCAAAATAATAGACGCCCCACCCTGTACTCTTTAAAAATATCCATGCTAGTAAAGGAAGTCTGAGGAGTTGTTTCAACAAGACTGAAAATTAAACCTAATGCATGATCCTGCACTGAATGTGAACCAGAAAAAATACTCTACTATGGATAAATTTAAATAAGACAAATAGTATTATATTACATTTTCTAATTTTTGTAATCTATGATTATGTAAGTAAATGTCCTCATTCTTATGAAATAAAGCACTGAAGTACTATCATTAGAAGGACATGAGTCTAAGACTCTCAAATGGTTCAGAAAAAATATTATGTATATATGACAGAAAATGATAAAGAAATTGGCAAAATAATAACAGGTGAATCTGTGTCAAATGAAGACAAAATACACAAAAACAGTCATAACTGGATGAAGAAATAAACAAGCCTACAATTATAGCAGGAAACACCAATACTCCTTGTTCATCAATCAATAAAAAAAAGTAGACAGAAACCAGTAAGGCCTGTAAAACATCAACAACTTGAGCTGACATTTATAGAAAACTCCACCCAACAATAGCAAAATACACATTCTTTTCAAGTGCACATTGGACATCATCCCTATAGACCATATTCTAGGCTATAAAACAAATGCTAAAATTTAAAAGAATTGAAATCATACTAAGTATATTCTCTGATCACAATGGAATTAAACTAAATAACTGAAAGATATCTGGAAAGTCCCAAATATTTGGATATTAAACAACAGAATTCTACACTTCAAAATAATCACTGGTTAAAGAGAAAGTACACAGAAATTAGAAAATATTTTTAAATTGAATAAAAATTAAAACCAATTTTTCAAAATGTGTGGGATGCAGCTGAAGCAATGCTTATAGAGATAATTATAGCATTAAATGCTTAGAAAATAAGTTCACTTCTAAATATTTAAGTATGTATCTCCCAAGAACAAGGACATCTTTTACATAACCATAATACAGTCATCAAAACCCAGGAACTTCAGCAATGACACAATATGTAACATGCAGCCACATTTAAATTTCTACAAAGACATTAAAAGTATCCTTCACGACAATATTTTTACTATCTTGAATCCAATACAGAAGCTCACATAGCATTTAGTTGTCATGTATCTTTAATCTCCTTTAAATTGAAAGTTTTTTAGCCTCTCTTCATCTTTATAATGAAGAATACAGGCCTTAACCAGGTTTCTCATTCTTAGACTCAGATTGATTTTCCAGGAATATGAATTAACTGATGTCTTCAGCACAATATATCTGGAGGCCACAATGTCTCTTTGTCTCACTGTGAATGGCTTTAACTTTGTTCCTTTCCTTAAGATGGAATCATCAAGCAGTTTTCTTTACCCTAAAGTTATTATTTTTCCATTGTAATTAGTAAGTAATTTGTGGGGAGATATTTTGAGTACATATAAATATCCCATACCTCATCAAACTTTTACTTACTAGGTTCAGCTCAATTGATTCCTGTATGTATCAATTACTTTAATAGTTACAAAATGGTCATTTTCTAATTCAATCATTCCCTGTACACTTACTTATTGGCATCCTACTATAAAGATCTTTCTCTCCCACAATATATATTTAATTATAACACCTATATCCTGTCTTTATTCATTTTGATGTTTAAATTGTTCCCAATTTGGCCAGTGAAAACCCCTTTAAGTTTCCTCCTGTGTCACGTTGACATGTCCCCAGTTTCTGAACACTCCTTTTATTTCTGGCACAAGACATTACAAATTCATTTTGTACTTTCTTTCCTAGCTCTACAATCAACCATTCATCCAACCCCAGAAAACCAAGTTTTTAGTTAGTGTCTCATTCTTAAACTAGAGGCCTGGTGCACGAATTCATGCACCAATGGGGTCCCTTGGCCTGGCCTGTGGGATTGGGCCAAAACCAGCTCTCCAACATCCCCCGAGGGGTCCCAGATTGCGTGAGGGCGTAGGCCAGGCCAAGGGACCCCACCGGTGCATGATTGGGGCTGGGGAAGAACGCAGGAGGTGACCAGACAGGGAGGGACTGCAGGAGGGCTCCAGAGAGGGACCATGGGAGGGCTCCAGGGTGTGTCCGGCCTGTCTTGCTCAGTCCTGATCAGCCGGACCCCAGGCAGTGTGGCTCAGAGGCTGAGCCATAAGCTAACCTACTAGTCAGACCATCTGCCCCCTGGTGGTCAGTGCACGTCATAGCAAGCAGTTGAGTGGCCTTAGCATATTATGCTTTGATTGGTTGAACGGATGACCGGACACTTAACATATTAGGGTTTATTATGTAGGATGATTTTTCTTGCTTGACAATAAACAAACCCCTTTATATCCACTTACTTTTTGGGCATTTGACATTTTATTTTTGCAACTTGTTTTTAGATATAACTTTCAGGCATACTTATAAAAAAACCATAGTATGTTATATTTGGCATCTAAGAGCTATTCTTATCCATCTGTTTGCCTTAAAGTTGTAACTAATTTGAACTTAAAGTTGTAACTAAAATGAACCTAAAAGTTCAGTAACTTTTAAGATACTGAAACCAATTTCTAACTTTTTGAAACTGCAATCTTCTAATTATACTACTAGTTATGTTAGTATACTGCATATGTTTGTTATGGTAGTTCAGTAAAGTTTTCAAATTCGTTTTATCACACAATCTTTACAAGATCCCCTTGGGTAAGCAGAACAGGTGTTGTTATTGTTTGACACAAAAATAAGGTACACAGAAGGCTATATAGCTTTATTTAGATTGATTTGTTAACATTCTATCCCATTTGTTATGTATTTGTATTTGTTCCTTCCCTTTCTTTTCTTTTATCATTCTGCACACACACACCCATGCACACTTCTTTTGAACCACTTGAGGGTAAGTTACATTCATCATGGCTCTTTACCCCTAAATACTTGAATGTGTACTTCCTAAAAGGTAACATCTCTTACACAACCACAGTATACTTATCAAGTTAGTCAATTTAACATTCAGCTATCCTTAAAAACAAATGAGGTAGGCATTTGCTTCTACCTCAGTAAAAATAAAGAATAGAGATTTCCCTCTATAGTTCAAAATCTCCTTTAGTAAGTATATAATGTCATTTGTGTTGCTCTTAAATTGAATTTTTACAATTAGGTTTTCTTGTGCCTGCGTGTACCAGTTCATCTATCTTAGACTAAACACTCCAGGATGCAGCATCTGTCCTTTCTGTTTATTACTGGCCTGCAGAACACAGTGGGTGCTTGGATAATGTTTGCTCAAAGTGTCACAAACACTTAGAGGGATTATTAATACTTCTTCATTACTGCCGGCAAGTCTTTTTGCTGCGGCTGAAAGTGGGTTTCTGGCCTTTGCATACAATGTTGCGAATCTGCTGGCTGAAGTCGGGGTATTTGTTACAGAGTTTCTGAAACTGCCAGCTCAGGGGCCTGCAAGCCTCATGCTAGTTTCAAGCTGCCTGGCTGCCAGCCGCCATCTTGGCTGACAGTTAATTTGCATATCTCGCTGATTAGCCAATGAAAAAGGTAGCAGTTGTATGCCAATTACCATGTTTCTCTTTTATTAGTGTAGATATGAGTGGATAGCCAAGGATTACAAGTCTTTGAATAGACTCTAATATAAAACATAAGATCAAAAATAAACCAAAGGGGACAAGGAATTTAGAGGAAGCAGAAAAGCAGGGAGAAGAAATTTTAAAATAATTAAGAGCTTTAGATAAATAAGATATTACATCCTTACAATAAGAACAAGAGGCTTGGAGAAAGAAAAACCATGGGGAGTAGGGAA